GTGTTCCCATTGGAGGAATGACTAGTTCCTTCTAATATAACATACTTGGGCGGCTACACAGCCTTTAACGGCGTCCCGAAGGTTCTCCAGGTCTGCTCGAAAGAAGTCATGTGTGCATGTATCAGCGCATAGAATGCCCCCCGAGGATCCCATCTAACCATAGCCTGCCTCGCTAGTGCTTAGATGTTGTCCAAAAACGGACAAAATCCCGATAGCACGGTGAGAAAGGCTCGGGTACCGTTACCGCAGCGGTCGTCTGGTTGATGTAGTACTCGGATGAAAGCACGGGGTCATCTGATCATTCCCGATCATTCCCGCTCGTTCCTGCTACAGTCAACTGAGGCACATAAGTCTGTGACTCTGTCGTGGATTGGGGTGATCTAGGGGGCACCCCTTGATTTTTGGGAAACACCCATGCCTTATCTCCCAATCTCTTCGCCCGCTTACCACGGGATCGCAAGATGTCAACAGTCCGCATGACCGCAGACGCAAGTGTCTCTGAGGATAACGCCGAAGAATTATTCAAGGCTTTGTGCATCAATGGTCTGCCTCTTGATGGCCGAGACCCGAAATGCGATGATTTCGTCAACAGCCTGAACGGCTCGATAGCGGATAGCTTGGATTCTTCGGGAATCGAAGTTGTCAATAGAAGGCTGTTCTTAACCGTCACCGAAGCTCAACCCGATCCTGTATCCAAACTGTACGTGGGACCTTTTCCTCTCACCAAGGGAAGCCTTCCCAAGCTAAATCACTTCTCAGAGACCTAGACGAACTTTACAGCGAATGTTTAGAAGCACACGATGCGTTCCTTGAGATTTACGCTGAGCCTGCCACTGCTCAAGGCGGGGTCAACGTCCGAGGAATCAAGGAAGGATCGAGGTTAAAGGCGTTCAAGTCTTTCCGAGACGTAGAAAACACCATCAACACTGCGTGCCAAAACCTGCAAGACAGAAAGAGGGAAAAAGAGGAGAAGAGGAGCGAGCAGACTCCGACAGGGCGCCTCCGCAGGGCGCTGAAGTCGTTCAGAGACGAAGCGCCCAACATCAAGTCGTTTCTCAACGTCCTGCCAACCGGCGGCGAGTATACGTCAATCCTTTGCGGCGGCTTGACGATCCTCATCGAAGCCATCGATCAGTACGGCAAGGTCGAAACGCTTGTTTGCCAGGCGCTAGAAAAAATCCAAAGAGCACTGAGCAACAAGGAATATGCTGCCGAGACCTACCGAGATGATCCTGGGATGCACAGACGCCTATCCGGAGTCTGCGCCGCCATCTTCAACATTCTTGGGCACGTACTGAGGTGGACGAACCAGAGCCGGTTTAGTAGGTTGCCGCAGCATTACTTTCTTGTCTCGCTTTGCAAGATTCTGTCGTAATTTCCCAGTGATTGCGAGACTAACGACGCTTCGTGGCTCAGAAAAGTATGTAAAGCCCATTCTTAGGCCCGCAACATATGAAGAAAAGCTCGGGGAGCTTTACAGCTGTTTACAGCTCAAGAATCAGGATCTGGTAAGCCATGCCGACCGCCTGTTTCAGCGGAGGACGTTGCAGGCACACGAAAAGCTTTACAGATTGTCGGAACAAGCGGTAAAGACACAGAATGGTCACGCTCTCTTACTCCGCGAAGTCCACAGACTCATGAATTCATATGAAGGTGCGTGACTTGTTAATAGCCTGGAATTCTCGCAGAGCTTTGTAACTTACCGCCACGTGCTAGAGCAAGTAAAATATCTCCGGAAGCACGTGTTCAACATAACCACGGCAAAGCAGCTGAATCAGGGGCCACGGACCCGATCTTTCAACGTGGATAGAGTCCTAGATGAGCTCGGCTATAACAACATGGAATCTATGCTGGGAGCCGACTGCGCAAGCATCCTCCGGCGCTCACGGCTAGACAGGGACGAGCAGAGAAAGGTCAAGGAGCTCACGAATGACGTCCGGCTGCGGGCCTTCGTCGAGGTCACCGACTCAACCGTCCTCCTCATACAGGCAGGGGGGCCGCATAAGCCTCGTTCGGCGGTCTCCCACGTCACTGCGTCAATGGTTGAGACTCTCGGTCAGGTGTGCGGCCCAGATAAAGGCATCCACGTGTTGGCCTACTTCTGCGGTGAACACAGAAACAGGCAGGCGAGATCCTCGACCCCGAAAGAGCTTGTCGTGGCGCTGATCCTCCAGCTGGTCGACCAGTGCCGCGAGCTGGACTCCGAAGTCCTCGCCGCGGCCAAGATTGTCAAGTCCTGCGGGGACCCCGACGCCAGCGTCGAGGACCTGTGTGATCTCCTCGACGGCCTCATGCACGCTCTACCGGATGAGTCCATCGTTTTCGTCATCCTCGACGGCATCAGTTTCTTTGAGTGTAGGTGGAGAAGGGACGAGATGAGTGTTGTCGTGGAGTTTCTGCTGTACCAGGCCCGAGAGAGGCAGCACAAGGCTCGGGGCGCCCAAGTCAAGGTCCTATTCACGACGCCATCCAGATGCCTCGGTCTGCGCGAACTCTTTGAGGCCTACGAGATTTACACCTTGCGTAAAAGCTCCCATGCTACAACGGAGAGCCTGCTGCCGAACGGCTCGTGGGGAAATAGTGGTCTGAGAGACAGCATTGCGGCGCTGAGTGATAACGAGGCTGGGTGATGGGACGAAGACTCAGTGTAGGTTTGCTCATATGCGTGAGGGGACACATGCTTGTTCATGAGGGCTTATTTGTAAGGTAATTACTATCGATGTTCAACAGGTAGGTCAAAGCTGCAAGACAGTTTAATCTAATTAGTGTGTTTATCAACGCGTCAGCCTGGATTACAATTTTTCATTTTCTCCGCCCGCAGATGATCATTTGATCGGACATACTTGTATGAATGATCGGTCTTCTATGTCAATTTTCTACAGGCCGGGAGCTTATGCATTTCGATGGGTCCTCTGTGATTGAACCTCTGGTGTTCAACGGTGATGATGTGGGGCCATAAGCCGGTCTCACCGGCGGGCGGCCCGAAACGGCATCTCCACAAATCCATGTAGTAGTGTAAGGGTAAAGGCCCGCTGTAACGTTGCGAAAGTGCGTCGCGAGAGGAAATTCAGGGATCAGACATTACTGTGTGAATGTTTTCATGCGACTGTATGATAGCCCAAAGCATGTGGTCAAAATCAATATAGTTGTCTGCGATAGGTATGTCGGAATCAAGTTGGCGAGGCGAGTCTAATTGCTGGTGACGGTCTCAAAATATCTCGAAGGCCAAATGTCCGTGAAAGGATTGTCGTAGACCAATTAACGGCGCATTCATCGCTCCTCAATTGGCATAGATTATGGCAATATAGAGCAAAGAACACCAAGGCGATGGTCAGCTTTGCTTTTCGAACCGACACAACATTGTACCATGTTCAGGGACCAATGTCGCCTCCTCAATCTCCATCCCACTTGCTATGAGTATTCAAATTCCCGTCAATATCATAGTCTCTATCATAGTCGTCCTTCTTCTTTCGCCTTATACAGTAAAACTGATACTTATGGTGTGCTGGCGGGTTATAACCAGTTAGTGATAGTAACCTGCTTCTACGGATCTCCCGGCATTTGAGCGATGTTCACACGCTGCTTCTAAACCAGGTAAACAAACAAATCTTCATCATGCTACTGCATAAATAAATCTTGTTGGAAAGAAGTATCTTGATAATAGTCAGCGATCATGGTCAGAATTATTACAACAATCGTTCTATTGTTAAGAAAGATACTTGTTTTCTTTGGATCTAAACATGCCAGCAATTCACTCGCCATGATTGAGAGCAGTCTGGTCATTGTCCATCGGTTGGCAGACACTATCTGGTCCATGATAGACCCTCTCTCCTGCGAGCAGAGCTCCAAACGCTCGATGATGCTGATCAGGGCTGTGGATGGGTTCCGCTCCACGTCGTGTGAGTGGGAGTCGCCGCGAATTTGACGATAATTTCAGACTCGAATCGTCGTAAAGCTCTTCTTTCAGCGGCGCGTGAGTTTCTCTGTCTTGCCAGGAGAAAAGAGCAAGCCTCTCATTATGTACGCTGTTTTGCAACTTTTCCGAGCTCAAAACGCCTACTGAACATGGCCAGCCGGCCATGTTCACATCAGCAATATCAAAGGGTTTGGCCCAGTCTCCAAGAAGATCGGCAGCGTCGGCTGTCGGAAAAAGCAGTTCAGGGGGAAATCCGAACCTGTTGAACCGTCATTGTCTCCGACTCGAAAGCTCCCATCCCCGTCAACCATCAAGAAAGCAGTGACCGCCGATGCCGGGATAGTTGACGGGAGAAGGGTACCGGTGATGGCATCGAAAAGTGGTAGCTATCTTGGAGCCGCTGTCTCTTGGAGGACGCACGACCGACCACGGAACTTTGGTAGTTAAGTCCGGAGGCAAGGCATCGCGAGCAACCCTCTTTGCTGCCAGAACATCGGACCTTTCAGGGACAGACTTGTGAGTCAGCAATGGTCTCATGCCACGCAACCAACCGCCAACCGTGTTGATTGGTTGTACATTTTCAGGCAATTGCAGTCACTTACCTTAGGAGCGTGGCATTGATTACACGCATATCGAAGTCGAAATGGTTTTGGAGCCGCTACTCCTGATTCCTGATCTTCCTCAAAGGTCTTCATAGGTACTGTATGTGGGAGCGTGTGAAAGCTCTAGCTTTAGGCCAGACGACGTTCATAGCACGCAAGTTGTACTGAGATCTGTGTGATGACCTGAAATCCAGTTGAAGTACGGCATAATGAGGATGTAGAAATCGACATCAACGGGAATCCTATGGCGAGAGGGAAAGATGGATAGGGGAGGGACGGGGAAAAAGTCGCCGAAAATTGTCCGGGGTTGGCGACCCAGGGACATTGCCAACGCCTACATTCAGCCCTCATTGACATCAAACGGTCAAGGCACTCTCTTATTGTTTACAAGTGCACGATATTTTGATCAGCTCAAGTTCAGGCAAGATTCATAGTTTATTAAACCAAATAAAGATATTGTAATGCGCAGTTGTGCATGGCATCTAAGGGCCACTAGGTAAGAAGGGCGTGTTGTTAGATGAATCCTTGATCTTTTTGTGATCGGGGTATTTATCCATCATCATCCTAAACAGCCTCAAGTCATTTAGAGCGTCCTTGGCCGACGTCTTGACTTCTTTGCCATGAACTACAGTTTCGTACCACTCTTTCAACTCAGCAGTGTATGCATCCTCGTAGGAGGTTTGAAGAGATCTGTGGGACTTTTCCCCGTGCTCGTTCAGCTCGTCAATCTCCACTGTGATTCCGAGACCCTTAACGAATGGTGTATCGTAACAAATTGTGACTGATTTGTTCTCCCCGTAGACAGCGACTTGAGAGTCAAATCTTGGTACAGAGTCGATGCCCATCTCGTAGACACACGTGAAACGGTCGTCAGGGGCGGTGCCATTCCGGTATTCGAACATTGTCGTGTACCAGCGCGCGTTGTCCGTCGATGCAAGCACTGATTCTGGGAGACCACCCAAAACGTCCCTCATCAAGCTGAGACCATGGCTTCCGAGACTGCCCAGGAGACAGCAGTAGTCCATCTGCGCGGCTGAAAGCGATTCTGGCTCTTGTCCCCATGCCTGACCTAGCAGGACTGCCAGTCGCGACTTTCTGTCCTCTGACGCCTCCATTGGTATGTCATCGTAGTATTTCTGCGAATATGCCCCCGACTGCCCGATGAAATAAGCATTGGGGCCGATGATATCCCTGACACGAGCGTACTTGATCTTGTCAATGGATGCAATCTCGCGTTTGAAGGCTTGGAGACTTGGAGCGTAACGTCGCATGTAACCCACGAAGACGCGGGCATTGTTGGGGGCATTCGTCTCAGCATCGATAATCTCCTCGCCAGCTTGTAGGCTAAGCGTCATGGGCTTCTCGAGCAAGACGTTCTTCCCGACCTTCAACGCAGCAATCGTGTACGGGGCGTGATACTCGTCAGATGTCAGGATGACGACAACATCAATGGCTGGGTCATTGAAGATGTCATCCGGGTTTGTGGTCGCGCGAGGAATCTTGAATTTGTCACGACAATGATGAGCCGTCTTTTGTGAAATGTCGCAAATGGTGACGACCTTGAAGAGGCTGGACAAGAACATGAACGTTGGAAGGTGCACGATTTGTGCAACGTCGCCACCGCCAATGACTCCAACCTGTAGAACCTTGGAAGACATATTGAAGCGAGTTCTAATAGTCGTAGTGATAATGCAGTGGCAGTTTTATGCGTGAGGTTGGACGATACAAGTGTTTCGAGCCTCGAGGAGTATTTGAAGCATCATGACACATATTAACCTTTTTATGAGGCGCTGTGTGAGCTCTAGCACTTGTCATTCCCTAACCCAAACCGGTGCGACATTCACATTCCGTCTCTGATGACGCTGATGCACCCAAGCGACTGTCCCCTCTCCGCTTCTGTGTGCTCATGCTAGGCATTCCCCTCATGCTTTCTCCCCGCATCGGACTAGTTGTATCGGGCATGTTTCCGACCAGTGCCAACGCGGACTGCTCTTTTTAGCAAAACCCGATCGGCGGGTGTCTTTCAAATCTCGAGAGGTACATATTTGCTTGCAGACGAGTAGACTGCGGCCTGCGAGAAGGGTTGGATAAAGATTGAGAATGAGAAGGTCATTATTTCTCGCGACGGAAACATCGAGGAAATCACAGTCCCCAACGAACGAACTGGAGTGCCGCCAGAGATACGTGCTTGGGCAGCCAGCCTCGCTGCCGGAAAGCTACGACCAGCACAAGGGCCAGACGCTGCCTCAGCTGACCTGGAATTGGCGAACCAAGGTTCCACTCAAGCACTGTGATCTACTTGATCACCAACTGGCACAAATTGAACTCAGGCTGAAGAGCGGCCAGCAGGGAGGAGTAGCTATGGTATGCAAACATCGAATAGTGTCACTTTAAGATATTCAACACTTGAACCTTTGGAAATTTTCTCACCAGTTTCCATTTACTGACATGATGGTTGGCCAATCCTGAAATCCCACTACGCAAGTTGCCTCGTCAACTTATCCCAGCACCGGTACGATCTTAGGTGAGGGACGGCCTAGTAACCGGAAGATTGAATGCCCCTTCACTTAGTCAACCCCGCCTTCCATTATACATGGGGTCATGTACCTCGTCGAAAAAAGCAAGCGGTGTTGCAATAATCAGGATCTAGTACGGTTAATACGTCGGATTTTCTCATTTAGGAAATCTCAGGAAGCGGGGTCCGAGCCAGCTTCCCCGGATTGTGCAAGTTTCCCCAGACTTACACCCCACAATAACTGCAGACGCCTCAACATGGAATTCCTCATAACTCGAGACTATAGCCCATTCCTGATTGTCCTCCCTGTGTTCTTGAAATGACGCATCTTTCATCTCTTTCTCTTGTGATCTAAGTTAGCCTTTCCGCTTGTACTCCTATCATTACACAATATTCGAAACACCTGTGCTCTTGGACAAAAGTCTAGACTCTATTGGCGTCAACCCTTAAACAATATCGATATGTCATTACGAAATACCTGGGCTCATTACAAGTGGGCAATCTTCTATTGCGCCGTTTCGGCCATTGGAGCTCTCTGCTATGGCTACGACAATACATATTACAACGGAGTATTAGCTATGCAGGAGTTCAAGAATGACTATGGAAATATTCGCGATACCGACGGCAAGCTCGCTCTGTCTTCATCCTTTCAGTCCGTGACAGCCTCCGCCATTTACATCGGCGACTTGCTGGGCGCAATCATTGCCGCTCCGCTCAATGATCGGTACGGCAGAAAGTCTACGTTTTGGCTGGCTTCGCTCTGCATATTTATCGGCGGCATTTGTCAAGTCGCAGACACGCTCAGCTCACAAGGCCTTCTTGTGGTCGGACGTATCCTGATTGGCCTTGGAGTCGGCCAATTTACCGTCACTTCGCTGTTGTACATTGGCGAAGTTGCACCCCCCTCAATTCGTGGACCAGCGCTTATGTGCTTCCAATTTCTCCAATCTTGGTCTCAACTATGCGCGTCTGCGATCAACCAGGGCACCCAAAACATCAAAAGCTCTCTCGGATACCGTATTCCCATGGGAGGTCTCGTCGTACTTCCCCTGATAATGGCCGCCCTTCTTCCGTTCATCCCAGAGAGCCCGCTGTGGTACGTGCTCAAAGGCCGTCGTACGGAGGCCGAGCAAAGTTTTCGCAAAATCAATCAAAGCAAGCCCAGCTACGACCCATCAGAGGACATGGCAACTGCTGAGAATGCGAAGAGCGTAGAAGAGCAGCATGCTGAGTTCTCTTCCTGGGGATCTCTGATAACGGACCCTATCGAAAGACGCAAGCTGACATACTCCGCTGGAGCTATGTTCAGCCAACAAATCTGTGGCATTCTGTTCTTCTACGTTTACGGCGTCGTCTTAGTCCAGGCTATTGGATTGGGCGACCCTTTTCTCGTTCAACTTATCACCAATATAGTCCAAATCTTTGCCGTGGGCGCCTCGGTAATTACGGCCAACAGAGTGCGCCGCCGTGTCAACCTCATGATCACCAACTTTATGATGCTGGTGGCTTTCATCATAATCGGTGGGATCTCGATCAAGCCACTGACATCTTCAACGCAATACGTTATTGTAGTGTTTTCCTTCATTGTCGTGGTTGGCTTCAACTTCGGTCTTGGCCCCCTTGCGTATACCGTCGCTCGAGAAATGGCAGTCGGCCCCAACCAGAACAAGATCATGTCTGCGAGTATCGTCATTTTCTACCTGACGACCTGGGTAGTATCGTTCACCGCGCCGTATCTGTACTATGATGCCGGGCTAGGCCCGATGGTGGGCTTCGTATACGCTGGCACGACGTGTCTCTCCATACTTTGGACATGGTTCTGTGTCGGCGAAACCGCTGGCAGATCAAGTTTGGAGATTTCAATGTTTTTCGCTGAGAAGGTTCCTGTCAGGGCTTGGAGGAGACATATGGTCTCGGACACTCAGTCCTTGAGAGAGATGAACTCAGATGACAAAAGCAAGGACATGCAAAATGTCTCAACAACGGTAGAGCACCAAGAGTTTTCTGTTTAAAATCTTATAGCATTGTGTGTAACAGAAGCTTCGGAATCACTTGCGTAATTGCGCATTGAGATTGATTGATGCCAGGATGTCTGTTTACGAATCGGAGCTGTGATCGGCGATGCCCTTTTCGTGCAGTTTAGGTCAATAGGAACATCCGATGTACATAGGCCATGGACCAAACTAGCACCCGAATGTATCAACGTTGGTTGACACACTCTCAGTATTTAACTGGCTGGTCTCTTTTAACCGCCCTCCCCTCTTCTTGCGAATGAACGGAAAAGGGCTAACGCGGCGCATCCCCCGCAGATTTCCGTTTCGCAGAAGATTGACACTCTCCATGGTTGTCTATTTCCGGGGATTCCAGACTTCGGACATGCATGGTCTCGCGACGGGCTTTCTCTGTAGGGAAGCCCGCCTAACACCAGCTTGATCGGAGTGCCTGATGAGAGCCGCCCGCCAGCCGCCTCCTTCGTCCTGATGGTGCCCGAATGTCACGTTTGATCACCTGGAGACGTCGTCAGGCTGTGACTTGTAAGTAACAAGAAGTATGCAAGACTTGGGGGGTTTCCCCTTCTGCCCCAAATTCGGGATTTGTAGGTAGCCAAGTCAAAGCGATACTTTGCGCATTGGGAGGAGTTTGAACGATGTGTGAGTTTTAGATTCAAGATATAAGGGGTGGGTGATAGCGCACCGACATCGCTTCATGCAGTCCTGCACTTGTAATCAATCTTCAAAATATTGACCTAGTCTGCTAAAAGATTTATCATGTTTCTGCTACTCGGTGAGAAAGAATTTTGGTCTCTTGAATCGAGATATCGTGTTTCTAATATTCTTAGTAGTGTTCCCCGCATTTGTCCTCTGGTTTACGGTCGGCGCACCGATAACAAGCTACCTCGCCGACCGGAATGGTCTCAGAAAGTTCCCTAGCCCAGGATTTGCCGGCATCTCATCCTTGTGGCGTATCTTCTACTGCTTCAGATACCAGCACTTCGCGGCGGTGCACCAAGCACACAAGACGCTGGGCACGCATGTCCGCATTGCTCCCAACTACGTCTCCATCTCAGACCCTCGCGCTGTCTATGACATTTACGGTCACGGGGCCAACTTTCTCAAAGACGCTTGGTACGATGGGGGGGCCGGAGCGTTCCGCCATATGGCCGACGAGAGAATCAAGACTGAGCATCAGAGAAAGCGGAAGTTACTTGCCCACGTCTTCGCCCAAAAGTCCTTGTCGGAACAAGAGCCCGTCATTGCTGAGACGATCCGCATATTAATGACACAACTCATCATCTTTGCATACGGCGAGAGACCAGTCAACATGCGTCGATATTTCAACTACTTCACTATTGATGCTTTTTCAACAATGCTCTATGGAGAATCATTAGATTGCTTAAAGCGCGGTAGCGACCTGGTCAACGCCGAAACACCCGAGGGGGAGATCTACCAAGCCCCCTTTATTCAGTCTTTGCTAGACGCCACTCACATCAACACAGTCCTTGGAATGGAAGCTGGTCTACTGCCCTTGACCAAGAAGCTTTTTTCCTGGCATCCGTACAAGAAGGCTGGCGCGGACTTCGATAATATCATCCGGCACTGCACCAAGGCGCGGTTCACATCCAAAGAGATGAAAGGGGATATCTTCCAAAAGCTGATAGTGAAAAACAACGGCGAACCGGTCAACCTTCCCTTTGGCGAGCTTTTTGCCGAATGCTCTGTCATGATGAACGCTGGTACGGAGACAACCACTGCTTCTCTCACAAACTCCTTGTACCTCATCTACACCCATCCAGATGTGGTTCAACAGCTCCGGAAAGAACTAGATCCTGTCATTGCGAGGAATACCGTACCAGCATACGACTCCGTCGGCCAGCTGCCGTTCCTGAGAGCCTGTGTTGAGGAATCTCTTCGCGTTCGACCTGCGAGTTCTATGGGTTTGCCCAGGGTTGTCCCGAAAGGCGGTCGGATGATCGCAGGGCGGTTTGTGACCGAGGGCGTCACTGTGTCAGTTCCGACCTACACCCTGTTGCGCGATGTTGAGACTTTCGAGGACGCCGAGACGTATCGACCTCAGCGCTGGATTGACGGCGACAAGAACCAAATGCTGAAGGTCCACTTACCATTCAGCACAGGACCTCGGGCATGCATTGGCAGAAATATTGCCTACTTTGAACAGCTAATGCTCATCTCAACCTTGGTACGAAACTTTGATTTTGAGTTGGCTTCGCCGGGCCAAGAGTTCAAGACTCTGGAGCGGTTCAACTCCAACCCAGATGAACTCTTCTTTCGATGTAGACCTCGCGATTTCTAGTCTTGTTCACAAATTGTCTCTGCTTTGATAATGAGCATTCGAGATTTCGTAACACCCACTGGCCTCATGGCTATACATGCAGAGTGCTGCTCTTCTATTGATGTTTGATAGTATAGTCAATACTCTTGATAATGAAGAATAAGAAAACTTGAAATGAGATTGTGAACAAACAGCAGTGAATAAGACTGTTAGTCTCACAGGACCAGCTAGCTAGTAGGGCACTGTGGGCAGCAAATATCGTATTATATTAACTACGTTAGTGGTGATGTGTATAAGGTTAACTGCGTTAGAGGTAGCGGCTATAATTATAGTGTTAATTGCAGAGACTAGCGTCTTATGTAATCGCTAATTATATAAGGTGCGCTTAGCTTAATTAACGCTGTAATAAGCTAGTATTATTAATACTAGTAACTTTCTCTTTTTATTAGTATTAATATAGTTAATAGTAACTATAGTATAATTTAAAAAGAAGTTATTAAATAATATATAACGTAAAGAGTAATAATTACTAATAATTATAATAATTACTTATAACCCTTATTATAGTAGTTACTCTATAACTATTATTTAATTCTACTTTAAGCTAATACTAGTAATTAATACTACTTAAACCTATATAACTTATCCCTCTATCTATATTATTACTAAGTTTATATTAAAGAAGTATATAAAGTATTAGTTAGGCTTTACTTTAGTAAAGGTATTAATAAAGTTATTATTACTATTAATCTATTATATTTTATATAGCTTATAGCGTTTATATAACTACTATAGAGCTATAATATTAATTATTAAATACTTCTCTTTTATAATATTTAGTTTAATAAAGTATTTATATAGTAAATATAAGTTAGTATAAATAATAGTAGGTATTAGAAGTAAGTTAAGCTATTTAGTAATTATTTAGAAAGTTATAGAGATAGTATAAGCTATATTAATACTAATAACTATATTATAGACTTTAGAAGTTAATATATTTTAAGTAACTTACTTACTTTTTATTAAACTAAAATAAATAATATTACTATTAATTATAAACTTATTCTTATTAGAAGGGGTCTTATTAGTAAGAATAATAATAAAACTAAGCTATAATATTAAGTTAGTATTATTAGTAAATAAGCTATTAATAAAGATAAAGAGTTTAGTAGTTAATAAGTTAATAAGTATAAATATTAACCTTTATACTAATAAAGCTATCTACTATTATAATTATACGTTAAAAGCTTTAATATTATTAAGCGAGGGGTCTTAGTATTAAGTAGTAGTTAATAGATTATAATATACTTTAAGCTAGTAGATTAATATAATATATACTCTATACGTATATTATTTAATATATTACTTCTTAATAGTATTAAAAGTAGTATTAGTATTAATAAAAGTAAGCTTCTTATTTTAACCTTTTTAGTAGAGGATAATAGTTCTTAACTTATTAATACTAATAATACTACTATTAAACGTTAATAATTAGTTAATAATAAGTTATTACTTAGCTTTTACTATAAATAAAGCTTTAGTTAGAGCTTTATCCTTATAAGCTAAGAAACTAATATTAATAAAGCTTAAAATATTATTAATTTATATACTAATAACTATAAAGTTAAGGTTAATAGTAGAAGGGATTAGAAGGTAGAGATTATAGCTTAAAGTAACTATCTAGAGAACTTCTCTATAATAATAGCTATATATAGCTTACTAGTAAGTGCTAACCTTAGTAATACTATAAAGTAGCTTAATAACTCTTATAATAATACTTTTTAGGTATTAATTATAAATCTAAATAAGTAAATATATAAAGATTATTCTATTAAGCTTTATTACTAACTAGATATATACCTATATTATATTATAAAGCTAGAGGATCTTATTAGAAAGTAGTAACTATAAAGTAATAGTAAGGATAAAGTATTAGTTTATATATTATATTATTAGAGATTATATTAAAATTACTTCCTTACTATTATTAGTATATTTTTAAATAATAAAGTAGGACTTCTTATAAAGCTTATTAATATTCTTACTTTTAATCTTATTAACTATTTATAATTAGAAAATATAGATATTTATATACTTAATAAGGTTATATATAACTATCTTAAAAATATTTTAATTAATAAGTCTTTTAATTTTAGCTTTATTAGATTACTTAAAAAGGTAGTTAGGTATATTAATCTTACTTACTTTATAGAGCTATATAGCTAAGTTAAGGTTAATATATTCTTTATTAGTTATAAAGACTTTATTAGTAATAAAGAATATAGTAGTAGTATTAATATTATTAACTTTTAATATAAAGTTAATATTAGGAGTAAGGTTAATATTAACTGTTTTTACTATAAGTATCTATCTTTATAAACTTTAGTATAGCTTACTTAGAGGTAGTTTTAAGCGTTTTTCTCCCTTATAAAGCTAGCTATATTAGTATAGTAGTAGTAATACTAGTATTAATAATCCTCTTTAGTTTTCTTTTACTAATATTATTAATACTTTAGAGGTATTTAGTAGAGAGTTAATATTAGTAATATCTTTATTTAAGTTATTATAAAAAAGCTTAATATAAGTTAATTAAAATATTTTTAGCTTATAAAGTAAATTAAGTATATAATCCTCTTTATTAATAGAGAGAAGCTTATATAAGCTAGCTTAGCCTTTATTCTTATACTATATAAGAATATCTAACTATAATAAGAAAGCTAGT